GCCTCTTTGAGACAGCCCCTCCCCCACATTGGCAAGGGGTAGCTGCAGTCACAGGCAATGAGACTCTGCTGCCTGGGCTTCCCCAAGTGGGGAGGGGTGAGACCAGCCAGGGGTCGTGCAGGTGCCAAGGTGCCATTGTAGCCGGAGGGTTGTGTGCAGAGTGAGGGAGATATCTGGGGGCCTGAGGAAGAAGCCCCCAGCCTGGGCGGTTTCCAAGAGGCAGGGCGCAGTGCGCTTTTCCCAAGATAGAATCGGGGTGGGGGGGACCATTGCAGGGGGTGGGGGGGGCAGGTTACCCAGCAACAGCAATTTGGTCAGATGAAGGCCCTCCTTACCTTCATGCCAGCCCTTCCCCAGAGGCCTGAGAGTGTTCAGGAGGGTTTGTGTTATGTGTGTGTGTGTGCATGTGTAAATATGAGCACGTGAATGTGAGCAGATTAGTGCAAGTATGCATGCATGTATGTGAAGTGTGAGTGTGAGTGTGAAACTATAAGAGTAAGTGCATTTGTGAGCAGTGATGTGTGAGTGTGTCAGCATGTGAAGGTGTGTGTAGGCGTGAGTCAGGAGTGTGATAGCGTTGAGTACACATGAGTGTGCAACTGTGTACACGTGAGAAGATGTGTGCAAGGTTGTACATGAGTGTGGGTGTGCAGGTAAGCATGTGGATGTGAATGTATAGAACGGTGTATATGTGCACTATGCTTTAGGAGGAACAAATGAGTAAATGTGGGTGCACACCTGTAATTGTGGGGAAAGAAGTGTGAATGTGAGAAGATGCATGCAAGTGTATGCACAGAAATGTGAGTGTATAAATAAATGATGGGTGTATATGTGGATATTAATACAAGTATGTTCTTGCTATTGTTAGGTGTTCTCAAGTTGAACGTGATCCATAATGACCCTATGAACAACAGAGCTGAACCCTGTCCTACCCTGTGCCATCCTCACACTTCCTGCCACACTAGAGCCCATTGCAGCAGTCACTGTGTCAATCCACCTGGTTAAGGGTCTTCCTCTCCTTCGCTGACCCTCTGCCTTCCTGAGCATTGTGTCCTTTCCAAGGAATAGCCCCTCCTAGCCAGGAAATTATTGCCATGGGAAAGTCTGCTATTAGGGACCTCTCCAAAGTACTGAAGAGCAATAGTGTCTCTCTGGAGACTAATGTGTGTCTGATACAGGCCATGGTCTTCACAATCACTTGTTATGCATCAGAGAGTTGGACAATGACCAAGGAGGATAGAAGGAGAATTGATGCCTTTGAGCTGTGGTGCTGGAGAAGAGTATTGAGAATACCATGGACTGCTAGGAAAACAAACCAATTCATCCCGGAAAGGGTTAAACCGGGCGGCTCCTTGGAGGCAAGGATTCTGAGGCTCCATCATACTTTGGACATGTTGTAAGGAGGGACAGGTCCATCATGCTTGGGAGGGTGGAGGGACAGCGCAGGAGAGGAAGGCCCTCTATGAGGTGGATTGATTCAGTGACTGGGGTAATCGGGATGGGAATGTCAGAGACAGTGTGATTGGCAGAGTTTAGGGCTGTTGTACATAGGGTCACTATGAGTCTCAAGCAACTCGACAGCACATAACAACAGCAACATGCCAGAAGTATGTGAGGCGAAGCTTTATCACCTTTGCCTCCAAAGAGCACTTTGCCTGCACTTTCTCCAAGTCACTAGGATGCAAGTGAATATATGTATATGAGCGTGCAAATGTGTGGTTGCCTGTGTGCTGCAGGACTGAATATGTGAGCGAGATGATGTGTGGTAAAAGTAAGAGCGAGCATGTGAATGCGTGAGAGTGTGTGATGACTGGGGAAACAGGTCAGCAGCCATGTAAGGGACTAGTCCCAAGGGTTCTGCGATGGAGAGTGCTAGGATGGGGGCCAGGTGCAGCCTGATCTCAGGATGCCTGAAGTCAGGCTGTCCTGTGGACCAGAGGCTGGTGGGATCTAGTGGAGAAGGGAGCATGTGGACAGAGGTCATTGCAGAATATGTATGTAAGCATGGCCAGGACCAGGTAGGAGGGCTCATAGGTGCCCAGGTCCTTCCCAGAAGCCTCTGGGCTGTGTGTGGCTATTTTGCAGGTGGAGGAGCTAGGACAGGGGACAAGTGATTTGTAAGTGTTGGTCTTGGATACTGTCACTGAAGGATCCAGGCCCAGAGGAGTTCAGAGCAGGATGTGCCTGGTGTGGTGAGGACAGGCCAAAGGACTGGACCATGGCTGCAGAAATGGTTCTCAGCCCAGGCTAGCAAGATGGGGGTGATCTGGCCCACCTACTCCAGCTGGGCAGGGAGAGGGCTATCAGGTCAGGGTCACATAAGCTGATTCCTCAGGGGCTCCCAGGTACATGGCCCGCCTACCCCTTTGCCCCCTGCTCTGCTGTGACGTCACGTTGGCAATGTAGCCAGGGAGGCCTCTGGGGGGCGCTCCAGGCTCGCAGGACCCCGGCGTCTATTTGCATACAGCTTGTTTGTATGGAACTCATTTGCATGTTCCTCTGTTGCGGGGGAGTTGGGAGTGGTTTGGGGTGTTGCTGTCAGTTCCTAGGGAAGAGGGTGGGTGTATGGATTTCTAGATCCTTTATCCCATCCCTCCCTCCTGCTTGGACCCCTTTGCTTATTGTTTGTGACCCAGCCAAGTCTTCACCTGTGTGTATGCACCTGCTTCCACCCCCATCCCAACAGGGTGGGGTCAGCAGGAGAGGTACACTAGCAAGCCCCCTTCAGTAACACAACCCACAACTAGGTCCTTCGTGCAGGCCCCATAAAGACCCTCGCGGAGACCCTGCCTCCTGTTGGGTTCCCCAGCAATGCTACCCTCTGACCCCAAAAACAGAAGAGAGGGGAGACAGCCTTTCTCAGCCTGTGCCCTGCCCTCTTCTACTCCGCTTCCTTCCTAGTCATTGTCAGATTACCCAGTAAACAAGGTGAGCACTCATTTACTTGTGTTTACTTAACTAATCTGTAGCGAATAATTTTTCAAATTAATTTTAAAATTTTACTTCTAGGGATGGCTTGACATTTGTCTCTCTCCTGACCCCACAGTCCCTTTGATCTCTATAGAATCTAAGAAAGCCTCTTGTCAAATTTATGGCCCTGGACAGGGACTGAATACCCAGTCCTAATCTGCCGTAGTGTCTTGGTTTTCATAACAGACGTGGTGAAACCCATGTGAAATCTTTCGCTCTTGCTTAATAAATAAACACAAGTACACCCGAGCTTCCTGTGCGTTTTGGGTAATCTGGTCCCCAGGCCCCACCTCTGCCCGACCCCCAGCCCTCACTCACCTCTGCCCCTCGACCTCCCCACCCGCGCACCTCGTTCGCTCCTCTTTGTGCCCCGCCGCCCTCTGCCTAGCGCACCATCCTTCTTGCTCCTCGAGCTGCAACTCCCCGTGGACGCAGGGGTCCCCGGAGGCACCTTCCTTTGTCTGCTCCCCTCCCGCCGCCCTCGGCGCCCGCTGCCCCTCACTCACCGCTGCGCCCGGCTGGGAGACCGCGCTGCTGCCTGGGCGGGATCGGGGCCTCCGCGCGAGACCGGCTCTTTATTCCTCCTCCTGACGCGCGTCGCTGCTCCTCCCGCCCCTGCCATCGCCGCGCCCGCCTCTGCCGGGACTGGAGCCGCCACTGGAGCGCCGCCCGCCGGACCACCGCCTCCCGCCTAGCCCATCCGCGCACCAGGCGCGAGGAGGAGCCTCCCCAGCCTCTCTCTCCAGGGGATCGGCTGGTGGGGCGGGGGGCTCGGAGGCTGTCGGCGACCCCAGAAGACCGGGCAGAGAGGCTAGACAGAAGCAGGGGAGGGTCGTGCACAGCAGGTGTGGCCCTGGCCTTCAGTCCTCTCCGCCTCCCACTGAGCCCTAATTTGGGATTTCTGCTCCTCCCATTAAGGAGCTGGAAGCTGGGGAGGACCCTGTGCCCCAAGTGTGAGCACAGCTGCTGGCCACGCCCTGGCTGGGGGTCCCGACATGGGAGGATTAGCCCCTCAGAGGCCCAAGGGCGCCCCGTGAGGACCTGCCCACCTGCTGCGAGGGTTGCTCGCTGGGGCCGCTAGGCCATGCCTCGGCTGCCGCTGGAGCGGGACCCTCGGCAGCAACGCCGCGTCTCTCTGGTGGTTCGCTACTTCATGGTCCCCTGCAACGTCTGCCTGATCCTGCTGGCCACCGCCACCCTGGGCTTCGCTGTCCTGCTCTTCCTCAGCAATTGTACGTGGCCTTTGGGTGGCCCCAAACTAGAACAGTGGCTTATTCGAGCCCTTGGCCCCTAGGGGTCAGAGGGCAGACAGGGTCCCCAGCATCTTTTGGGGACAGGGTCCTCGGCCACTGAGGTCTGCCCAGGGCTGTCAGGAGCTGACCTTCCTTTATGGGGAGCAACTTTCTGCTGGAGTTGGGAAGGGCGGGGCCAGCTTCACTGGGGGGGTGGGTGGAATGGGGCATGCACTTCACCGCGGGGCTGGGCTGGCAGGTGGTGGGCCATGACCCTGCAGCTGGAGGGGCAGAGACAAATGAGAGCCTACCTGTCCGTGGGGGTCTGGGCCTGGATCATGTGGCTTCCTGGCCTCCCTATTCTGGACATCATCCGATGTTGGGTCTGGGGAAAGGGTGCTGCTATTAGACAAGGGAAGGACATGGACGATGGGGCATGAGAGGCTGGGGTGCGGTATGACAGCAGAGATGGGAGAGTGGGGTGTGACGGGGCATGGGAGGGGGTTTGTGACTGGGGGATGAGGGATGAAGGGGTCATAGAAGTGAGGGCATAGAAGATAGGGGATAGGTGGGTAGGTCAGGAGAGTAAGGTGTGAATGAGAAGCTGGAAGACAGGTTGTGGGGGGCTAGAGATGGAGGGTGGGGTATAGAGGCTGGAGGGATGGGGGCACTAGGGCAGGTTGTAATTAATGGACGGTGAGTGAGAGTGGCCAGTGACATGGAGGGACCAAGATGGGGTTAGCCCTGTAAGGACCAGCTTCAACTCAGGTCTCTAACTGAGAAATTTGTTTCTTCCAGATAAACCTGGGTCCCACTTCACACCAGCAATCCCGACGCCCCCAGACGGTGAGTGGAAGACTCTGCTAGAGCTTGGGGTGGGGGTCCTGTCCCTTCACAGGCAGTGCTCACTCTTGGGGTTCGAAGACTGTTCTTAGGGCATAAAAGGGTGTGCTTGCTGGTGGGGGGCTGCATAAGGAATTTTGGTCATCCTGGGAGTCCCCAGCTGAGGGGCCAGGGGAGGAGCTTGGGACGTCATTCCCTTGGCCCACTGGGTCTCCGCCTCTTCATAGTGAAAGTGGGACCAAGTTCCTGGAACCCTGTCTGCACAGGATGTCTGAGCCTGAGAGGATCTCAGATAGCTTGTGCAGATGGTAACAGGATCGGACAGCTTTGGTGATGGGTGGAGCTGGGAGCCCTCAGCAAGATGGCCAGCTGTCTGGGGCCGTGCCTGGTGGGTCTGGGGTCTGTCCCTGAGGCTGAGAAGACCTGACTGGGCTGGGGGTGGGGGTGGTTAGGGGCATCCTGGTGATGTAGGGGGCGGGGCTGGCCCTCTTGACCTGCTTTGTGGAGTGGGATTGGCCTCCCTGGAGTCCTGCTGTGTGGAGGCTGCTGCCATTAAGCTAATGTGGACGGGAAGAAAGGAAGCTGTTAATGCCACCACAGGGATGGCGGGAGGGGAGTGGGTGAGGGTGGGGGCGAAGGTCCTGGGGCTTGGGAGCAGGGTTCCTGCCTTGCCTCCCTCCTCACTGGACCCTCCTAGGTTTGCCCTCAGGCCCAGCCCATCACTGGAGCACTTTGCCAGGCAGCAGGTGGGTCCTGCTCAGGCACACAGTTTTCATCAGCATTGTGCCACGGAAACCCTGGGCTCTTCCTGGTTGTTCCCTAGTTTGCATAATTAGTTGGAATTACTTCCTGCATTTTGGCATGGGGGATTTGGGACTGGGTCAGGGACTCTCTCTTCCTTTGTCCCTTGGCCCTGTCATAGCTTTATGCCTAAGGTTTCCTGTGTTCTCTGTCAGTTCTGGGCTGCAGCTGGGGAGCCCCAGACTCCCCCTCCCCCTGCCACAGAACCTTCTAAGCTGCCCTTCTAAGCCCCCATGGACCCCTCAGATCCCCAAGGTTGGCCCTGTGGACTGGCCTATGGAAGAGACCTGTCTACAGGGCCAGTTACTTGAGGGCAATAATGAGGGCATGTGACTCTGGGGCCTCTACCGTGGGGCGTTTTCCTCTTCCCCTTCCCCTTCATGGACCAGGCAGCTTGGGAATTTAGTACATGAGAGTGGAGGTTACAAGGACCCTCGCTTAGCCCAGACACCAATCCCCTCCCCTGCAGCCCCGGCACAAGGTGGGGGCAGCCAGGCCAGTGTGGCTCAGACAAATCAGGTCTGGAGGCCATTCCACAGCAGCGTTTCGGGTCCCAGGGCAGGGAAGTTATGCAGTACTGATTCTCAGAGGCGGCGGACAAGAAGCCTGCAGCTTTCTAGATTTAGATCTGGGTTCGGGAGCGAGGCCACCCTTCCTTTTCCCAACATCCATAATTCCCCTCCCCTGGAGTCCCAAACTCTGATGTGCTCTCTCTGGTTCTTTACACAAACCCCCTCCCTGTAGGGACACACCATTCACTGCACACATGTAGACAGCTACGTGCCAGGATGTCACCACACACCCCAACACAACATGCTTGTGGCCGAGGCGGGGCTGGGGCATCCTACTCCGTCCTCTCCCCACCCTAGACCAGGAGGTAGTTAAATATAGCCCTCGCCAACGGGCCGGCTATAAAAAGCCACTGCCGCCTACAGCACCGCAAGGAGGCCTCAGTACGGGCACGCGGGGAGCAGTACTGCAGCGGGCGTGAGAGGCACGGAAACTCGGGGGCTGAGTGGCCAGGGAATCTTCAAGAGGCTGGGCTGAGAGGGGGCTCATGGCAGGGTCCAGAAGTGACCTCACAGCTCGACAGATGCGAGTGCCCACCTTGGCCACGGGCATTGGGGGCTATGAGTGGGTGTATGGACCCGAGTGACTACCATTTACAGCAACTTGATCATGTCAAGTGACTTTATTTTATCTTTGTTTTCTCCTCTATAAAATGGGTATATGTTTTTCTGTGTGTGTGTGTGTGTGTGTGTGTGTGTGTGTGTGTGTACACATACACATGATGGTATGTAAACGAATTAAGATATGACATGGAGAAGAGGGATTGGAACTTGCAGGAATTGGCTCCTGTGATCATCTGTGTGTATATGTGTACATGTGTGTGAGTGAAAGCATTTATGTGTGCCTGTATTTTGTGTGTAGCTGTGTGTGTGCATTTGTGGATATGTATGTGTCTGTGTGTAGTCTGGATGTGCACAAATTTCTCTTCCATCTGGAAATTTGTGTCTCTCTTCTCTAGTCCACAGAAGAATGGGAAGGCTTCCTGGAGGTGGTGATTTCGGAGCTAAATCTTGGGAAGGAGAAGATGCTGTTTGGGACAGGAAAGGGGTAGAATATTCCGTGTAGGACAGAACCCCCCTGCATGACCAGAAAACTGCTGCCCTAACGGGGAGGGTGAGAAACGCGGGACTGCCCCTTCCTGTCTGACTTGGAGGGCCAGGGCCCAAACCTTGGCTCTTGTTCCCCGAGCACCCTGGGCCCCTCTTTCCCCCCTCTTCCACATCCAGTCTGGCAGCCAGGTGTCTTACTCTATGCCCAGCCTATCTGACTTCCTGCCTGCATCCCCACCCTCCACACCGGACTGGAGACCCAGCCAGCCATACTGGTACCCTCTGCTGCTGCTGCCCACTTCCTGCCAGCTACTGCTCGTATCCAGCTTGGATACCTGGTCTGGACTCCCTTGTCCTCTAGAATGGGTCCTGCTGTGCTGCCTGCCTCTGTCATAATCACTTTCGCTCCCAGACCATCTTGGGGAAGTAGGGATCAGGACCACACTGGTCATCAAAGTCAGGTGTCCTTAGACATGGGCTAAGTGTAGGGAGAGAAGTCTGGCTGGATCTCTGTGTCGCTGGCCACTGGAGCCTTGGTGGGGAGATGAGGTGACCAGAGAGAGAGATGGGCCTAGAGACGGGGGAAGCCTGGCTGGCCCAGGGGAAGCAGCTGGTGACAGTCATGGTGGAGCCAACATGGTAACTAGAAGTGTGGTCACCAGATGGCCACCACATGGTGACTGAACAGGGGGGCTCAGTGACCAGGGCATGGTTATCAGGATGTTGTGACGACCAACAGAATATGGTGATTGGTTAAGATGCTGACCAGAGGGCATGGTTACTGGGTGGCATGGTGATTGGTGGTGACTAAGAAAAGTAGTGACCAGGTAGGGTCGTGACTGAATAATATGTGACCGGTAGGTATGGTGAGAGCAGCAGGGAGCAGACACCAAAGGGAGCAGAGTCTTAGCAAGTGTCTCTTGCAGATGGTGTCGGGGTTGGGGCACCAGGGGCCTGGGAGAGGACAAGAGGGAAGTTGTGAAGAGGGGTCAAGGGTGGAGACAGCTTTGAATTTGATCTGAGCTAGGACAGAGAGGATGGTAATGGGGTCAGCAGCTCTCGTCACTGTCACTGTATTAGTGGTCGTTGGTAGCTTACAGTGCACTCGATGCTACATTTTGGGCTCCCTGGGTGCTTTGTGCATTCTGGCTCCGCTTACCTCACATGCAGCTCTCTAGGCAGGTCCTATTGTCCCTGTTTACAGATGAGGCACAACGAGGCAGTAACGACAATTGGTGCAGTCCTGGGGTGGCTTGACACCGTTGGCAAATTACAGGAGATGAAGGGAAGGGAGCCGAGGCAGAAGGTGAAGATCTTCCTCCTCCTTTTGTCAGTGGTCAGGGTGCTGTGAGGATCGGGTTGATGTAGGACCTCAGGGTACGGGGAGTTCTGAGCAGATTCCACCCTGCATCCACCCAGCCTGTGTTGGTGGGGCTGGGATGCTCAGGCAGACACTGCGCAGCCGCCAGCTCCCGGCTGTTGCCATGGCAACTGCTGGCTCCTGGGCTGGTGAAACTCTCGCCCCTCCCCTGGATATGGGGGTGGGGGCACCTTTCCTGCCCTGTTTCCCAAGATAGCTGGGAGGTGGCAGGTGGATGGGGAGCCACACCCTTCTCCCCATGACTTATTGATGGTAATTAGACCCACTTGAACATTTATTGAATCCAGGCAGCTGCAGCTCCTAATGGACCTGCCCCACCCACCGCTGGGTGGCAGCCCAACAGGCGCCAGTAGTGGGTTGGGGTCCTGGAGGACACAGCCTGGCCCTGCCCCTAACCCATCGGAGGCCAGGGAGGGGCTGGCACTCAGCTTAAACGGGTGTGCACATTTCTTTGTCTATTGCTGTTCTCTCCGTTGGCGGAGGTAGCTTGTACATACAAGGGTCTTGGTGTTCCCCAAGTTGAGGACCTCCGGCTGGTCGTAACTTCACTGAACCCACTTCCTGTGCCACCGGATGAGGGTCATAGCAGTCCCTGTTGGACTGGTGTTGAAGTCAGCAGGGCGCTGTGGTCAGGGCTGTCTGTGCCAGCACACTACCCACGAGCTCTCAGCCGGGCTGGTCTTACCTTCGTGCCATGCTAATGAAAATATTTGGGAAGATAAGCGATACTCAGAGACCCTTTCTCCAGAGGCCACTGTGGATGTGTTGGCTTTTGAGTGCTCAGGACCCAGGTGGAGCCAGTAGGATGAGGGAGTTGGGAGGAAGGAGCAGGGTGGGGTGTTGGTGTGGGGTGTGAGTTGGGGGGATGCTCAAGGACTTGGACTGGGGAAGAGGGGACTTTGGGATGCCTGAGAACTTCAGGGAGAGATGCTGCAGTCAGCCTGAGTCTGGGGAGGCTGGAGGGCCAGCTTGGTGCCGTGGGAGAGGCCGTATATCTGAGAGCCACAGAGGCCAGAGAAAGACGTGGATGGTGGAAGAGAATGGCTCTTTCCAAATGCTATGGGGAGAAGAGAAGGGATGACAGAGGCATGGCCCCCTGGGGGTCAGAGCCAGAAAAGTCCTTCCAGAGGGGAGGCACCTGGGAAAGCATGCAAGAGTGGGAAAGGGCATGTGCAGAGGAATGAGGGGCTTGCAGAGGGTGCAGGGAAGCCCTGTGAGGGTGTGCGGGAATGTGCTTGCGTGCAGGAACCTGTGTGGTGTTAGTGTGTGCCAGTCTACGTTGTGTGCATACCTGCAGATAACGTGAGGCACAGGTGAGGAGGAGCAGAGAGAGGTGTGCGTTTGGATTACATGCAGGTGGGCATCCCACGGTGTGAAATCCCCATGAGCACATGTATACAGACGTTTCTGCTGCCCTCGTGATCGGCCTGTGTGCAGCATTTGCGCCTGGCTGGTGTGTGGACATGGTGTGTGGCTCTGTGATGGAGAAGCCCGTGTCTGACCCTCGCACCCCTCTCTCCCCAGCGTGCCGGGGGATGCTGTGTGGCTTTGGTGCCGTGTGTGAGCCGAGTGCAGAGGGCCGGGGGCAAGCGTCCTGCGTGTGTAAGAAGAGTGCCTGCCCCAACGTGGTGGCGCCCGTCTGTGGTTCAGACGCCTCCACGTACAGCAACGAGTGTGAGCTCCAGCGAGCACAGTGCAGCCAGCAGCGCCGCATCCGCCTGCTCAGCCGCGGCCCCTGTGGTGAGTTGAGGCAGGAGTCCAGTGGGGCCGGGTAGGTCTGGCAAGAGGGGGTTTGCTGCAGAGTTGGGCCAGGTGAGGGGCGGGGCCTGGCTCAGGGCATTTGAGCCTGGGGGCATCTAGTCAGCAACTGGCAAGGAGACCGAGCTGGTAAACCAAGGCTGAGTGGCACAGGACTCTGATGAATAAGGAACCAGGATCCTGGCATTAGTGAGTGGAGCTGTTAAGGGGTGGGACCTAAAGGCCGAGGTTCATCCTGGAGAGGGTGAAGCCAGGCTGCTCCTTGGAGGCAAGGATTCTGAGGCTCCGTCTGACATACTTTGGGCATGTTGCAAGGAGGGATGAGTCCTTAGAGAGGGACGTCATGTTTGGGAGGGTGGAGGGACAATGCAGGAGAGGAAGACCCTAGATGAGATGGATTTACTCAGTGACTGAGGTAATGAGGGTAGGTGTGTCAGAGACAATAAGGTTGGCACAGGATAGAGCAGGTTTCAGGGCTTTTGTACATAGGGTCACTATGAGTCACAAGTGACTCGAGGGCACATAACAACAAAGGCAGGGATGGTGACTGCACAGTGGATGGAGCTTGGTATTGGGTTAGTGGTCTGCCAGCCTGAATCCCCAGCCCTCTCTGCCCACAGGATCCCGAGACCCCTGCTCCAACGTCACCTGCAGTTTCGGCAGCACCTGCGCCCACTCTGCTGATGGGCAGACAGCCGTGTGCCTGTGCCCTACCTCCTGCCCAGGGACCTCTGAGGGTACCGTGTGTGGCAGCGATGGCACCGACTACCCCAGCGAGTGCCAGCTCCTGCGCCGCGCCTGCGCCCGCCAGGAAAACCTTTTCAAGAAGTTTGATGGCCCTTGTGGTGAGCACGGCTTCTGTGGGTGACATGTAGCTGGTGTGTGCCTGGCGTGTGCAGTCAGAAAAGCAGTTATCTGATGCCAGTCCTTGTCCCCAGACCCCTGCAAGGGCACTGATGACCAGAACCGAATGTGCCGCGTGAACCCTCGGACGCGGAAGACAGAGATGCTCCTTCTGCCCGAGAGCTGCCCCCCTCGGCAGACACCTGTGTGTGGTGACGATGGCATCACCTATGACAACGACTGTGTGATGGGCCGCACTGGCGCCACCCGGGGCATCCTCCTCCAGAAAGTTCGCTCTGGCCAGTGCCATTCACGAGGTGGGCGTGGTTTGGGTGGAGGACAATGATTCCCTGTACACAGGAGGACCCTCCCCACCCCCCACTTCCTTGAACTTGAGATTGGACAGTTCAGTAATATCCTTGCCCCACCCTACCTCACCTCCTAGACCAGTGCCCGGAGCCCTGCCAGTTCCATGCTGTGTGCCTGTCCCGCCGGGGCCGCCCCCGCTGCTCCTGCGACCGAGTCACATGTGATGGCGCCTACCAGCCTCTGTGTACCCAGGATGGGCACACGTATGACAACGAGTGCTGGCTCCATCAGGCTGAGTGCCAGCAGCAGCGCACCATCCCTGTGAGGCACCGGGGCCCGTGTGGTGAGCGCCTGCCCCGCCTGCACCCTCCTGGATCCACAGAAGTCCCTGTGGTCCCTCATCACATGCCATCTGCATCTGTATCACACCCTCCCTGGGTCTCGGGTGTTTGGGACGAGGTCATAAACGGGGTGCCTGGGATGCTTCAGAGGCAGAGAAGGGGACAGGGAAGTGGGCCCTTGTACAGGCCCACTGCTGCCTTCGAATTCTCTTGTCACTGTCTACCTACTCTGTGCTGTAACCTAAGAGGTTGGTCGGGGGTGGACGTGACAGGGCCACACGCCCTCTTAGGGAGCAGAGTCTGGGACTGGGCTTGGAGCTGTCCTGCGTGGGCCAGGGCAGGGGCATCTCTGCCCCACCACCCCTTCCTTTTGTCCTGGGTGGGTGGTCTGTCTTTTTCCTGTCTTCTTCTTGTCTGTTTGTCTCTGCCCCTTTGGGCCTTCCTCCCCTCTCGGCTCCGCCTCTTGTGTCTTCCAGCCGACCAGCTGGCAGGAGGAGGTGCCAAGCCTGCACCCGGGAGCCCACAGCCCGAGGTCGGCCCCTGGCGCGGCAGGGGGGAGGGGTGCTCGCTGCTGCCTGGCCTTGCAGTCCCTAGAGCAAGTTGACAGACACGCCCCCTCCCCATGTGGCCCTGGGTGTGACTCCAGGGAGTCCCCTGCCCACAAGGGAGAGCCCCCTGCAAGGGGTGTCAGGGACTGAGGGTGAGGTCGAATGGGCTGGCTAGCCCCTCCCTACAGCCTTGATTGGCCATCAGAAAGCTCCCTGTGTCTGGGGACAGCTGCTCACACCTCACGCCCAGGGCTGCAGCCAGTGATGCTTAGAACTGTGTCCCTGTCTGTCTGTCTGTCTGTCTGTTTCTGTACCTCTCTCAGCTGTGTCCTGTGCATCTGGCCCCTCTCCCTGGCCCACGCTCGTCCGCTGCCGTCCCCCACTCAGGAGGGTCTGCTTTGTGGCGGGGGGAGGCTTTATCCCTAGTGAGGTGCAGGGTCGCCAAGTGCCACGTCTGTCCTCAGGCCAGCCCCCATCCCCCTGCCTTGGGGTCCAGTGTCCTCTTGGGGCAACATGTGTTGTGAAGAACGGCGAGGCTGCATGTGAGTGCTCCCAGGTGTGCTCCGGTATCTACGACCCCGTATGCGGCAGCGATGGTGTCACGTATACCAGCATGTGTGAGCTGGAAACCACAGCCTGCATTCTCAGCCGAGACATCCGAGTGGCACGCAAGGGGCCTTGTGGTCAGTGGTGGGGAGAGAGATTTGGGCAGGGCTTAGGGGACATGAAGCTCCTGGCCAAGTGGTGATGGAGCTGCCTTCCCAGACCGCTGTGGGAAGTGCCAGTTCGGAGCCCTGTGTGAGGCTGAGACGGGACGCTGTGTGTGCCCCTCTGAGTGCGTGGCCTCGGCCCAGCCCGTGTGCGGTTCTGATGGACGCACCTATGCCAGCGAGTGTGAACTGCATGTGGCCGCCTGCACCCACCAGATCAACCTTCAGGTGGCCTCAGTCGGACACTGCCGTGAGTACCTGGGACTGCTGGACAGTGGGCACTCCCTCTGGGCCCTCTGGCCCAGCTGACCCAGCTCTTTGCCTGCAGAAGCCTGTGGTGATGTGGTGTGCGCCTTTGGGGCCGTGTGCTCAGCAGGGCAGTGTGTGTGTCCTCGGTGTGAACACCCCCCACCTGGCCCTGTGTGTGGCACTGACGGTGTCACCTACCGTAGCGTGTGTGAGCTCCGAGAGGCGTCCTGTCAGCAGCAGACACACATCGAGGAGGCCCGAGCAGGGCCCTGTGAACTGAGTAGGTCTTGGGGGCCACTGGGGGGGACTGTGCACACGAGTTAGAACCATGCAGTGACTCCCTGTCCCTCCTTCCGCACAGCCGAGTGTGGTTCAGGAGGCTCGGGCTCCGGGGAGGATGGTGAGTGTGAACCTGAGCTGTGCCGGCAGCGTGGTGGCATCTGGGATGAAGACTCAGAGGATGGGCCGTGTGTCTGTGACTTCAGCTGCCAAGGTGTCCAGCAGAGCCCGGTGAGGCCCCTCCCCTGGCTCCAGGTGGCCTCAAAAGGGGCCGAGGCTGCCCTCACTGAGTTCCCCCTTCCAGGTCTGTGGCTCTGATGGGGTCACCTACAGCACTGAATGTGAGCTGAAAAAGGCCAGGTGCGAGTCACGGCGGGAATTGTACGTCGCTGCGCAGGGGGCCTGCCGAGGTGAGCTGCTGATGCAGTGCTGAGTGTGTCCCGGCCTGTCCACGTGCAGCCGTCCTGTGTTCCTTGGGTGTGCATGTTCCGCAGTGGGGGCCTGCACACAGGGACGTGCACGCGTATTTGTCCAGCTGCAGCATACACACCATGTGCCTGCCACCTGCTGAGTCTCTAAGTGGGCCCAGCCTGGATGTAGCAAACTGAGCAAAACCTTATTTCTTGGGGGTTAAAGGAGAGTCCTGGTGACTTAGTAAGCATGTCATGTCCATTTTACACAGATGTGTACACACTTGTGCGTGATTTCTAGGTTATATGAATGCCTGCACCGGCTTTCATGTGCGTGTGTGTGCTGTTTGTGTGTGCAGAGCTTGGGTTAGACGTGTGTGCATGGGACCATGTCCGTCATCATTGGATGTTCCCTGTGTATAGTCTGGTGCAGGGTTAAATGTGTACTGTAAGTGTGTGGTTCCAATAGTAATAGTAGTTACAGTAGTTACCGTTGGCATCAACCAGCCGCACTTAGTGTTCCTCCAGATGCATTCTGTAGACATGCTTCTTTGTTTATGTATCCCACGTGTGTAGATATGCCCTCCTGTGTCACTGGAGTCTTCCTCTGACTACAGGTCCAGGGCCCTCAAGCTTGGTTGGAAGTTGCCATCAGGAGGTTAGGAAGAGTCTGGAGCAGGGACCTCGGCCACAGTGTGAACTCTCTGCTTCTCTCACAGGCCCTACAGCTGCCCCGTTGCCACCTGTGGTTCCTCCACACTGCTCCCAGACTCCCTACGGCTGCTGCCAGGATAATGCCACCGCTGCCCGGGGTGTGGGCCTGGCTGGCTGCCCCAGTGAGTACCCAGTCCCACCCGACCCTAACCCCAGGGAGTTGATGGGCATGTGGCCATGTCTGTTCCCGATCTTACAGGTGTGTGCCAGTGTAACCGGCATGGCTCCTACGGTGGCTCCTGTGACCCGGGTTCTGGCCAGTGCTCCTGCCGCCCCGGTGTTGGTGGTATCAAGTGTGACCGCTGTGAGCCGGGCTTCTGGAACTTCCGAGGCATTGTCACCGAAGGCCGAAGCGGCTGTACCCGTGAGTGACCAAAACCAGTTGTGCATTTGGTGTGTTTTCCCTCATTCTTTGTCACCTGGGCTCTCTGTCCCTCGTAGGCAAGGCCTGGGTGGGTCTCTGCCAGAAGATGAGGACCTTCATTACATGGTCCTGAAGTCAGATTGGCCTCTCCCTGTGCTTACCTCTCAGCATGCAGCTGCCACCCCCAAGGGGCTGTGCGTGACGACTGTGAACAGATGAGCGGGCTGTGCTCCTGTAAGCCTGGGGTGGCAGGTCCCAAGTGTGGACAGTGTCCAGACGGCCGGGCCCTGGGTTCCACTGGCTGTGAAGCAGGTGAGAGCAATACCAGGTACTGGCCAGGCTCCCTGTTCTGAGGTGGGTTCCAGCACGGCATGAGGCTGCCTCAGCTGCAAGGTTTCCTGCATCTGTGCACCCAGATGCCGAAGCGCCCATGAGCTGTGCAGAGACGCACTGCGAGTTTGGTGCCTCCTGTGTAGAGGAAGATGGCTCTGCCCGCTGCGTGTGCCCGACTCTCACGTGTTCAGAAGCCAGTGCCACCAAGGTGAGGGTGGGGACACGAGGGTGATGGCTGTGGCTGTGAAAGAGGTTCAGTCCCTCCAAGCTTCCTTCCCATGTGCCACCACAGGTCTGTGGATCCAATGGTGTCACCTACGGTGATGAGTGTCAGCTGAGGACGATTGCTTGCCGCCAGGGCCTGGATATCTCTGTTCAAAGCCTTGGACCCTGCCAGGGTGAGGTCCTGTATCCAACACTCCAGAACCAACCAGAGGCCATATCTGACATTGACCTCTCACTCCTGCCCTAACTTTGCTCCTCACAGATTCCATCACTCCGACACCTGCAGCTACCCCTGTGCCTGTCACACACAGGGTACTGCTGGCTCCTCCCAGTGCCATCCCTCTGACTCCTAGCAGTACCCCCCGTAGTCGACCCACCCCTCGACCCTCATCACGACCGTGGACCACAGCCAGTGTGCCCCGGACCACAGGCCGCCCGGCACTGACTGTGCCCCCTACAGCCCCCACCACACTGGCCAACCTGGCCACATCAGCCTTTGGTGAATCGGGCAGTGCTGATGGTGGGAGCGGCGATGAGGACCTGAGTGGAGATCTGGAGGCCAGTGGAATTGGCTCTGGGGGTGCGTATGATTACAGGGCATGGACAGGCAAGACCCCTGGAGCACTTGGGGCTTGGCTCAAATTCCATTTTCCCAGGACTGGAGCTCCCTGAGAGTGGTAGTGCTGTGACCCTTGGAGCACCCATTGAGAGAGCTTCCTGCTACAATTCGCCTCTGGGCTGCTGCTCAGATGGCACAACAGCCTCGCTGGACGCAGAGGGCTCCAACTGCCCAGGTGAGTGGGTGGCTGTGGGGCTGGGAAGCCCAGCAAGTCTCTGGATGGCAGCCTAGGCGTGGCTGTCCACAGCTCCTGGCTCTACACACGTGTGGGCATGGTTTTGACCTCTGTCCACTGGTGTGTGGTCTGTCTCTGCACACGTGTGTGCCTAAGACCCTTGGCTAATATGTCTCTCTCGTCATCAGCTGGCCTGGGGCACTGCCCTGAGGAGTCTGTGGTAACTGACACCAGCCCTGTCCAGGGGTCCCCACTAACCTCATCTCCATCTGACTAACCTCCACCTGCCCTGACCCCTGAGTGGCTTGCTGCCCTCAGTACCCAAGGCGGGCTGGGAGGCCAGGTGGCTGCTGGGCAGGACCTTACTACCCCCTTCCCCACAGCCACCAAGGCCTTCCAGGGCGTGCTGGAGCTCGAGGGGGTCGAGGGGCAGGAGCTGTTCTACACCCCCGAGATGGCTGACCCCAAGTCTGAGCTGTTTGGGGAGACTGCCCGTAGCATCGAGAGTGCGGTGAGGATGGGTGGAAGTGGGCAGTTCAGTCCCAGTGAAGATGAGGGGTGGGAGGTGCAAGTAGGACAGCCTGGAAACAGTTTCTAGGCACCCCAGGAGCCATGCTCCCATTCCCTGCCCTCAGCTGGATGACCTCTTCCGGAACTCAGATGTCAAGAAGGACTTCAGGAGCGTGCGCCTGCGGGACCTGGGCCCCGGCAGTTCAGTCCGAGCCATTGTGGATGCCCACTTTGACCCCAGTGAGTCTCTGTCATCCCAGGTCCCTCCCAGGAGGGGGGAGAGTGAGGCTGTGCTCCCACCTCACTGTGCTCAGCCCCACTCTTCCTCAGCTACGACCTTCAAGGCACCGGACGTGGGCCGGGCCTTGCTCAAGCAGATCCAGGCATCCCGACGCACAGCCTTAATGGTAAAGCGGCCACTGCAGGAACATGTGCGCTTCATGGATTTTGGTGAGCACAGCCAGGCCCCGCCCCTTGCCTACCCAGACTAGACACCATTCGTCTTCACCCAGGCCAGGCCCCGCCCCTCCCTCACCAGGCCCGGCCCTGTCCCGCCCACATCAGGCCAGACTAGACACCATTCGTCTTCACCCAGGCCAGGCCCCGCCCCTCCCTCACCAGGCCCGGCCCTGTCCCGCCCACATCAGGCCAGGCCCCGCCCC